AAGAGAAGACAGGGCAGATCCAAGCCAGTAGCATTGGGAAATTCCTTACCAACACTCGGGGCCTCTCAGCCATAAATGAGCTGACCCTGGTTCACAGGTTCACTCCAGAACAACTTTCTCCCCATTCCTGGACACTCCCTGCCTTTGGATTTCCATCTTTTTCACTACATTCTAGATAAAGGATATTGTTACTATCCTCAGGTTACGCAGAAAACGCTCGAGAATGTAAAAGCCATATTTATCTCAAACTTGTTGATTATTAGTGCTGTCTCCTGTGAAGAACTGACAGATAATTAAAAAGATAAATGAAATTTTCTAATATTATGTGAATATACCAATAATTTACAGTAGATCAATCAGCCACTAAATCCACCTTGGTTTTAGTTTAAGGGTAGAGTTAGAATTTGAGATAGGGTGGTACTCGCTCTCTTAATTTTAAATATCACTGTGTATTAGTCTTACTCCTTCTCTTCCCAAATAAAATTTATTATAAATCACAGGACCTAACTGCACAACTTTCTACTAGGGAGTTTATCAAGGTCCTGAAGAAGTCTTATTACATAATGTTAATCCTAGACTTGAGTGTCAACACCAACACACACACACCTGCTCACAGACTATACTGAATATATTTTAGGTACGCAACACTCCCGCAAACTAACATGGTAAGTTACCTAAATATTAAGAAACTATCATAACTAATTTGGCGTAAAATCATAAACTGTAACAATCTAACATTATTTATTTAAAAATTTTACAATAATTATTCTATGTGCACTGATACATTATGCATATAGTTACATTGTATTTAAAGTAACAGCTTTTTAAGAAAAAGGAATCCTTCCCATTGCCCTACACAGCACTCTGTGCAGCCTGGATGTGCACACTCATGCACACAGGCTCCTGCACAGACACTCCAAATCTTACACCTGCTCTGAAGCAGTAGGAAGTGAATTCTCAATCTGTCAACATGACCATCTGGTCTATCTGCATATCACGGCTTTCTCGGTGGCTCTATGAAGGAATGGCAATCACGAAGCCAAAACACAGCTAAAATGCACCTGAATGGGACTCCCGCTCTCTTTGTTGAAATGGAATAGTACGTGACAGAGAGCAAAACTGGCAGTAACGTAAGTAATTTAAAACGAGCCGTCACGACGGCAGAAGTAAGCGAAGAACACGGCACAGGTGATGTGGCCATCAGTGACACTGAGGACAGTTTCCAGGACGAGGGGCAGACCTCTGAGACGCTGCCCGGACAGCTCCTCCTGGTCCAGGCAACACCAAGGAAAGGCAGTCACGGGGTGGCAGGAAGCCGTCAGTCACTATCGTGCTGAAACATTACTGTGCAAAAATGTTCACTTTCTACCTTAAAACTAACAAGCACTCATGATACCATTAGGACAAACTCAGTTCGCTCTGTCACTGGCTAACTAACAATTTCAGCAACTATCTGACAAATTTTGCTCATTTATCAGTCTTTCAAAGCAAATTTTAAGATCGCTAAAAATACTTCCAATCTCAGAAAATTCCTCATCTGCAAAAAGTGAAGATGCTCACCGTGATTCAGCTTTTGGGGCCTAGTGCCTCTCGACAATTAGCAAAGGCCTCAGCCGACTTAAACATAAATCTGTTTGTTTAGTTTTAGTTCTTAAATCTCTCCACACAGCTGCCTCAGAGCTCTCATTCTAGCACACAGCAGGTAACAACTCCCAGAAATAAATGTGACTCTGTCATTCTGTGGCCCAGATACAGCAACCTACCTCTATCCTAGAGATGAATCCTTAGAAAGTCTAACCTCTTACAAAATTTAACTAAAGCAACTGAGACTCCTTCTAGAATCTGATTACATTACCAGAAGTTATACAGAAGCAGTTTAAAAAAAAAAACTCTCCAGAAAGTTCTCGGTTGAGTGCCTACTAATGAGCAAAGGTTAACTTTATCTAAAAGGTCAAATGCCTGGTGGCTAAGGTCATGACCTTAACAATTTAAATTGTGACCTTGCCACGTGCCGGGTATATTGTCGATTCTGATACAGATCATCTGGTAAAGACCAGCCATAAATTAGCTTTACTGTTGCACGCCCACAAAGAAAGCCATGTGCCACAAACAATAATTTCTCCAAGCGGTCACATGATCCATGGGAAGGACGACCCAAACAGAGACCAAACTAAGGGCATAAAATGGTTTTACTCTTTTAGACTTTTAACGAGATGAAATTCTCAGGCTTATGGAATCGCTCCAATTTTATTGTTTATCAGGCACACAATTCACACAGTTCTAACGCCAATGGATTTAGAGAAAAAAATTGGAACGTAGTTTATGTACTGTATTTTAGCATCTCAATAAGTCTTAGAATAAACCACCTGTGATTTTAAAAAGTGATTGATTCTGCATTAGCTCCCAGGATTCACCTGTGTGTTCTCTCTAAGGTGCCAACTTCCTACCAAAGAGGCCGGGGCACGAAGCAGTCATTATTGTACACATCATTAGAAGGAAAAAAAGATCTCCCTTTTATGGCCATCTAGGGGAAAAAATGGCATTTTGGTGGGGGGAAAAAAAAAAGCACATTTTAAAAGAAAGGAGGGGGCGCATTAAAGGTGAAAAGGCTACAATGATTTTGGCATGTTTCTGGAAGCACGTTTCAGGGCCTCTGCCTCCTGCCAATACTGGCTCATTCTCAGAACTTTAAGGTAAAAACACTGTTTAGTGTTTACACATCTTTAGTATTAGAACACACGCTTGTCAAAGCATCGTACACAAGCTGCCCGATCTACCTCCTGTTTGTACTGGCAGCTTCCCTTCCACAAATAACAGGTCTCGAAATCTCTGGAATCCAACGTGAAACATTTTCAGACAAAAGGCCCTGAGTATTTTCTCTTGCGGTCGTCCTGCTGCGTGTGGTGGAGCGGCCATCGCTGCGCCGGCTCCTGAAAGCCAATGGCCTGACACTTGGCCGGCGTTCAGGCCTGACGGGGGATTCTGGGATACTCAGGAAAACAACGCCAAAAGGTGGTCTGATCCCCGCTGCTGTCAACAAATCCGTCCTAAGCAATAAGAACGCCAACTGTACCCGCCAGGTACTGAAACAACCAGAAGTGTGTAAACTCTGGAGTCTGGAACAACAGCACAGCGACAAACCGCCAACGCCCAGCAGGAACCCCTGTACCGGCAACAGCTGGAAGGCTGCCTCTCTCTGACTGAGGGAGATGCTCACAGCCAAGACGAAATGGGTGCTGCCCGAGCCCTCAGGAACCTTCGCGGCCACCCCGTAAGGAAGCACACACCAACACATGCATCACCTGTGGGCACACTTGATTTTCTAGGTTGTCAATTAGAACAATTACTGTAACTTATAAATTTACTTTTCTAAATCTCAAAAACATTCAACACAAGATTTTAATGACTGCTGCCTGACGGCGCTTATGACACACACACTTTTCTTGCATCTTGCCTTTCCCTATCAGAATCTGCACTTATGTATGCAAATATATTTTTTAAAATTTTGACTTTGCTTTTTCAATAGACAGAGTAACAACAGGGTGAAGGGGGTTAAGACAGGGCTGCTTGTTCCTGTTTAGAGGTCACTTGAGAGGTGCTACCTTTTCATTCTCAATACCCAGAACCGGCTGAAGCAACAGGCACTTCTTATAATTAAGGATACATTTTCAAAAACCCAAATATTTGGAACATTTACAGATCACATCCTCTAAAATACTCAAGTGTCCCCTGCCAACAGAATGCAAATGTCGATGTGACATGCTTGCAAAGTTAATTTCTCCAGTTTCTTATGTAAGGACAGAGGGATAACAAAAGTTCTCTTTCTAAAACGTATTGAGAAAAATAATAGAGACTAGGCTATCAGCTGACTCCTCTAAAAAACAGATCACATTTTTAGAATTAACAAGGTTTTGCAAAACAGTGCAGTGTTGATTTTACAGGTAACATCTTCTCTCTCCTTTGAGGAAAAAAAAACGTAAATATATGAACTGCAGAACAACCTACTGGTAGGATTCCACAACATTCCTTCTTCCATCTGGCTCAAGTAACTGTGATGTAGGTGATCTTGCAAGACCGATATACACACATAAAAAGTCAACAAGTTACACAAGGCCTGAGCTTCCAACAGAACACAATGAGCCTTTTGTCTAAAATAAGACGAAAGGAACAAAGCAGAAATGCATTACTGTATCCAGTCCTCAACAGTTTATCCTGAATGCCACTCTAAACAGTGTAATATGCACAGGTATGACATGCCTTGAAAACAGCCTGGAAACAATAAAGAACTTTAATTCAAATCAAAACAACTCATTAAATCAATTATCGATTTCTCAGTGTGCTAGTACACACTGAGAAAGTTGTGTTACTTCAAAGTAACAGGTGGTTACTTTGAAGATTAACCTCTCCATCACTACTTAGAGCTGGTCTGTTTTTTCCCTTAGCTACCTTAGAACACTAAGAATTCCTAAATACAAAGCTACTAAGTTTTCGTATTAATGATTTTTTCCTTCGTTAATGATCAGCAACTTGATAGTCATCTTACCTCCAACCTCTTCTTAATTAGTAAGGGGTTCCAGAAGGTCCCGTGGGTTAACAACACTCCCAGAAGAAAACAACTAAAGAGACTCAACGAGTTCTAACCAGGTCACCTGCCTGTTAGAACCCACTCTATCCAACAGGGGTTTTCACGAAGCTTTGCGTCCACCATCAAAGAACGTGACTTAAACTATCACATAACTGACTACCAACACCTTTAATAACGCTGTTGCCAAAAGCCCTGAGCAGAGCGAGAACTCCCTCCGAGCTATGCTCTTGCCCGTGAATGGGGGCACCTCACACCTGTGGCTGCTGGCTGTTCTGACGGTCCACCTGGGGGACCACACTGTCCAGAGGTATGAGGCCTGCGACTTCGGAAACTCAGGGGTGGCCAGGCACATGCAGAGGGCATCAGGAAAGAAACACACACAAGCGAGAGGAGCGCCTTCTCAGCCCGCACTTACCTGCCGCGTGCACAAAGTATGCCAAATACAAGTCGAGCTCCTTAACAGAAACCCCTATGTGGTGTGGCTGGACGCAGAGCCCTGGGTTGGAGCACTGTGCTGACTTCACCAGGCGCTCCCCATCAGTACTTTCCAGCGGAATACCTTTAAATAAAATCACCATGACAAGGTCCAACCTCCAGACTTTATCTGCCTGGCGGAGGCAGTCAATTCTGCGCATCTTGCCCTTCTGGTCAGGGTTGGAAAGGACACAGCACGGCGGCTTCTTGCCCGTGACTGTGAGAACAAAATCCTCCCGGTACTCAGGTCGGATGTCTTTCCGCAACTTGGCCAGAAGTCGAGACGCCCACTTCTGCTTGACCTCTGGTTTTTCACTCAGCAACTCATCCTTCACAGCTCTCTCTTCCTCTTTTGACATACGCTTTTCATGTTTTTTGAAGTATTTTCGTTTTCGGGCCTGCAGGTTGAACCACGTGTAGGCGAAGGCTCGGACGTGGGGCAGAAGTGCTTCGATGAAAGGATGGAATTCATCCTAGGGAAAGGAACACAAACAAAAATATGACTATAATGAAAACAAAGGAAACAACTTTTCTTCAGATGGTCACCTTAAAAAAAATATCCTTATTTCACTTGAAATTTGATTCAAGCACTACATTCCCAAAATCATACAGAAGATCCCTATGGGAAGTCCCAGAGGAAAAAAAGAAAACTGTCAGTATCATTTCTCACAATCTCAAAGAAGAAAATTGCTAAAAGTTAAAAAACGTTTTGACATGTTCACCAAAGGGTACCAGGTTCTATCGTCGGGCCGAGGTCCGGAATCCTTCCGATAGTGAGCGAAGTTTACTGAAATGCTTACAACAACGTATAATCTTAACCCCATTTCAAGGAAGGCACATGTAACACTGCTCCAGCCTTGACCTCACCACTGGTGGCGCAGCCAGAGCTCCCCGGCCAGATTGGCAGATCCTAAACATGCAGATGCCAGTCAGTGTTTATGGAAGTCCAGGAGCAAAAATCACTCCATGATCAATGAAAACAAAGATTTTCCCTCTACAAATATTGCATGTAGACTCTGATCTGTTCCTCAGTCATTCTGGTAACATCTTAATTCCTTTTTAAGTACTACAGCTGCACATAATTCTTTTGAGTCACAAACTTGGAAAAATTTGGCAGCTCCATATACAAAAGAAGAGAAGAATTTGATATTCATCAGACTAAAATAAAAGATCTATGTCCAAGACATAGTTGCTGATACTATGGGAATAAAACAAAAAGGAGAAAAAAAGGAAAAAACAAAGAAAAGCGTACACGCCAGATAGTAAACAGAATGCATCGTGACAACACTGTTGCAAATAAATACATTTAATTTACTGATATGATCGTGAAATACCTTCGGTAATAATCATCCTTGAAAAACAGAATAAGTTATTTAATTTTTGGAAATAATATTTCAGGCATCTTCTCACGGAGAAACAGAGAACCTGGTATATTCAACGTTTCCAAGACTCCAGGAAAATCCTCATGGTTTCTCAAAATTCAAGCAATTTAAAAATAAAATTGAATTTAAAACATTTAAATTTTTCTTACTGATTTTTGAAAATGTTTGATTCTTTAATTGACATTTTCCAAAGAAATATAAATATAAAATTAAAAAAAATTAAACAGTAACCTCCACAAAGCTTTGAGTACATCTAACTTTTGATGAACCCACAGTAGTCTTACGTAACTTCTCTCCGCCGCACAACTCCCCCCAAAAGATAATTTACTTTCAAATAAATGAGGATAAGAAAACCAAAGAGATATTTGATGATCCTTTTTAAAAGAGTGTAGGACAGACAGATATTATAAAATGCATTCTTTTTCAGTTTGTAATATCCATCTAAATATATACTTCAGAGGCACAAGTAACTGGAATGTCCAAAATATTATTATTAAAGCAATTACCAAATTTTTAAATGTTCATATGTAAACTGAGTGGTTAAAATTGGTAAAATATTTTAACAATCAAGTCTGTTAAAATATTATAAATTATAATCATCTAAACACTACATACAACCGGTTTTTTTTAAAGTAAGTATATAGTAATATACTACATAATAAATCATTTCAGTAACTGACATTTATTTTTCTCCTCTCTCGACAAATTTCAGGCTCTGTATTTCAAGTTTAGCTTTGAAAACTGCTCTTTTCAATAAAAGAATCCAAAAGAGAAGTCAGCTTTTATAATGTGTGCATTCTTTAAGTAGAGAGAGAACACAGAAAAATACAAGAATTATTCTTTACCACAAACCATTAGCATTTTTTAATTTCTGATGTTTGAGAATCTTTCTTATTGCCATACCTTAGAAGAGAGAAATGGGGGGGGGCATTTTTCAAGGCACGGTTTATCTAATAACGTATATGCCAAACCGCAAAGCATTTAAACATTACTAAATTCTGAGCTCATCCTTGAAATGCTCTAAAATACATAAATTTTGGGTGTGAAACAGTCCTTCACACTGACTGATTTTCCTCTATACACAGGACATGCTGAGGACCGAGGCTCTGTGGTAGCACACGGAGAACTCGTGGAGTCGACCTCAACTACAAACTGAGCCTTCACCAAACGGAGGATTTCATTTTAAAGTCTCAGCCCCATTCTATAATGCAAAGAATAACTTAGCTCCAAACAATTCATATTTACCTTAAAATGTTATCTTACTAAAAAACTCTATTAATGATGATAAACATTTTAAATAAACATTCTAATACGGTATTTCAGTGTTCAAAGATACTCCCAATATGCTTCTCAGAGAACTGCGAACTGCGTTCCTTTGCGTTCACAAGGATTTTGTTTACCTGCCAACCAAATGTCCATATATCTCATCAGAAAAATCCTTAAATGAGGCCAACTATGACAAGTAATCATTAAGAATAATCTAAGCCCCCAATTTTGCATCAAAAGTATTTACAACTTATTACTCCCCAAAGCTTTCAAGAATGTGCCAATAAAAGTGCACAGTATTTTGTATAACTTTACTCACACGTACAACTAAAGTGCTACTTACCTTCCTCAACTCACAATTAGAAATATTCCAGAACATCAAACTAAAAAATACCACTAACTCGCAGGAAATGTCCAGGCACAGCAGAAATTAGTTTTAAAAAATAGTACGCCCTTATAAATCATGTTGCTGCACATATCACCATAAGGTATGTAGTATTTCAGAAGTATACCAGAGAAAACAAAGACTATTTTACATATGTACTCAGTGAAAAAGTTACAGGCCACCAATAAAAACAAACCTGAAAACCTGTTTCAAAAGTAGTATGACTTTGAATCAGCATCTTACTCGGTGATCTGTTTGTAAGGAAGCCAAGTTTAAGAACCACTGAATGCTGATATTTCTGGGACTACTTCTTTTAAACGTTCACCTATAAATTTCTACCGGGTTCTCATTCTAGAGCCAGGTACATGATTTGGTTATGATATGTCTATATAGGTTAAAATAAGGTGTCTGGCATTTTCCTGATAAAGTTTTTAAAAATTGCATACACGTATATGGTGTTTACTTTTCCATTTAGAGTACTTTTATCACTGGGCTTACTAGACTTTCTTTAATGACCGATAAACTACCTAAGTTTTTCTTTTTAAAACTGACTCTAAAGCTTTATAAATATTCCAGCAAGTTAAATAAATGGTAAATCCATTTTTAAAAGAACTCATAAAATATATGGCCTTCATTCACTATTTAGTGTATATTTTCTTTATAAACTATTAGCTTAAGTAAGCATTTCTCTTAGTGGTGTTTGCAGAAGAAGGCCTAGTGAATGTATCAATCACACCGCCAATTTTTTTTTAATCCAACTTTGTTAATGTGATAATAGCTCATGAACCAGGAGAACCCAACCTTGTCAAACACGTGACTGTGCTCTGGGCCTGCATAGACACACAGGTATCCCCACATGGGCACCAGCCCTAAACATAAATCTCTCTTCTGAGGGTCGGCTCCAGAGACGCTAAGGTGTCTGTGAGGGTCCTTTCCCACCGCTGCACACTGGTATTATCTGCAAGTTCTGTGTTGCAAACTCCTGCCAGCTACAACTTCAGCCTTCGAATCTCAGCATTTTCACTGTAGTAGTAACTCACTCAAATTATCTTACACTTTGCATCTTATCCATATGCAATTGTGAACCTCACCAGAAGTGGTTGGAAAAGTTTCATTCCATACTTCCACAAGTTACTAAAATAAGAACTTTAGAAGTTTGTTAAGGGAAAATAAAAAAACTTTTACAATAACTAAAAGCAACTGCTATCCATTATTAATGCTAGGCCTAAATCCCAAACAGGCCATTTCAACATAAAAGATGCATTTAAGAGTCTTCTGAGATCAAATAGCCAGTACTATTACCGCTGGATATTGCAATAAGAAGGGACGTCATGTGGGAAATAAATCCAGAATCGAGAGAGGAGAAAGAAAACTATTGATACTTTCTAGCCTTCCAGAAAGTATTCGGGTTAAACCGTTATCTCCTGCTGCAGGAAGGCAAGCGGTGGCGGTAGGTTTTCCAGGGACGGTGAATAAACACTTTGCATGAAGCATACAACTTCGTGGAGTGATTAATGGTCAGATCCCAATGTACCAAACAGTATGAAGGCTCACGCATTTTTCCTCTTTTTTTTTAAAGAGCAAAATCACTTTAATTTCATGCCTTTTAGTCAAACAAAAATAAATCATATATTCAAAAAGGCCCAGATTTGGAGCCCTGAAGTTTCAGTATTCGGCCCGGGGCGGAGCAGCCGCGAAGGGATGGAAAGGGAGCGCCCGGAGCGGACGGCGGGGACCGAGACCCACGCCCGCCGAGGAGAGCGGCGCCCGGGCCTCCTGCGCAGCGCGGCTCGTCCGGCGCCAACTTTCCCGGACGCGGCGGCGGGGACGCGG